CTGCTAGGAATGTTGACTGGAGGTGCAGATGGGAATTGCAGACTGTATATTTGAGATGAAAGGTTATGGAGGGTTTGAAATTGCCTTGACTCCTAGGAAAGCAATGAGGCAGCAAACTGGATTACTGTGGTTGTAGAAAAGAGGTGTGCCCTGTGGGGTGGATTTTTGATCTAGCACCTGCTTTGAAACACATTCTGGATGTGGACATTGGTAGAAACAGGAAGTCTGCAAGGCCTATTTCTGGGATTGATTATCGGGAGTTTGATAGAACCGGTATTGGCTAACCTGATGCAGCTTCTCCTTTCGTTTGTTTTGCTCTTTTTGCTGTCTTGTGTTCTTTTTGCTGTGTTTTTTTAGGTTGTATGTTAGGTTTGTGCTTTATTTTTTGCTGTGTGGTAGGTTTTATGTTTAGGCTTTTGAGTGTCTTTCTTTTCAGGCCTTAAGTGGCTATTAGTGTGTGTAATTGTTTTGTTTTGGTGATTAATAAAACCATCTTGTTTTGGCAAAAAAAAATCTATATTCATATTTTATTTTATTACATATAATATTATAAAAAAATAGAAAATGAGTGTGTGAAGAAAATAATCTTTATGGAGCTGTTCATGGGGGCGAACAAGGGAAGGGATCCAATCCTATTCATACAACCAGCGTGCTCGTCTTAGGGTATGATTTAATTAGAGAATTAATATTGATGTTATATATAAGACCTATTTCACAAGCTTATTATTTTTCTCCAAATGAACCCTAATGATATTTTTCTAATAATATTCAAGTAGAAGTGGAAGGGAGAGAATTAAGAAAAGATGCTTAGAGTATTTAAAAAAATTATATGTACTAATTTAGCTATATTTTTAATTAATTCAAATTAATTAATTAGATCTTAGATTAAATACCGGGAGAATATTTATTTCTACATTCAATCCAATGCATATATCCTGTGTGTGTTTTTTAAAAAGATTTTTTTTTCCCTTATCAGAAAGAGATTCTTTTTAGAGTTAATATTGTTATCAATCTGTGAACTCTAATCATATTTTAATTTGGGCTTTCTAAAATTTGAAAAATAACTTAAAAATATATCAATTCTATTTTTTTGGCAATATATTTTTTTTTATTAAAAATAGTTGTATTTAAGGTACTATTAAGTACTCCCTCCGTTCCTTATTATAAGACATTGATGCTTATGGCATGTTCCTATATATAAGAGACACTTACAAGTTGTCTCTACTTTTTTGTGTTGATTTACTATTTTACCCATATTTATTATCTCCAACTCACACTCTCTCTCCCTCCCACTTCTCTTTCTTTTAATAATTTAATTGTTCTCTCTCTCCTTATTAATGAGGGCATTTTTGGAAAAAAATTATACTTTTACACATTAATTATTTTTAACTAATTTTAACTGTTTTTTTGATCAACGTACTTCGGTTATTTGTCTCTTATAATAAGGAACGGAGGGAGTACTAATATAGACATTTTTTAGTAAAAATTCTAATTTAATAGAAAAAAAATTTTCCCAGAGAGAGAATTTAATCCGTTGTAGACGAGGCGGAATGGGTCCACTTTTTGTATTCAGATATTTTTATGTAATGAGCCCACGTGGACCAACAATGGGGGTGGTACAGGTTCATTAAACAGCTGGACCTACCAGCGGTTTGGATCAAAAGAGCCAGTCCTTCAGCAGACTAAGGTGCGAATATTTACTAAAAAGATTATCTTAACAAAGAATACATATGTTTTAGCATAAAAAAATAAAAAGGAGCCCAGCGGGTCAGTGTGAATGGGAACTATCCGTTACACCGGTCCCACAAATGAATGAGGAGAGAGAGAGAGAATGAGAACAGTTAACAAGTCCGTGACTCGTTTTCACGGACATTTGTCTCGGTGTGCCCGTGGAGCCACGGCAAAAGGCTTAAAGATAAGAGTATTTCTTTTTTCTGAAAAAGAAATCACTAGAAAACAATTTTTTATTAAAATTTTAACATTGAGATAGACTTGGTAAATTTTTATATGCAAAAAATAGTAGTACTCTGTAAATTTTTAGGGTAACAGTACTCTGTAAATTTTATATATACAGAATACCGATGCTTTGATTTGACTCATTCTTATTAGAGTAAAATATATTGATTATCCTTCTATTTTATTTTATCGGGTATAAACTTCTCTTCAAATTAAAATGTATGTTACACAAACTCCTTATACTTTTAAGATTCAATTTCCATTCATTTAACTATTAGTTAGTTAAATTTGATTTTTAAATTTTATTTTGACCAAAATATCTCTCTTTAACATGAATGTTATTTAAACATTTGAATAAAAAAATAATTTTGATACAATGAAAATAATTATAATACATGGTTTTTCAAAATTTTTATTATATTATAAAATTTTAATTTCAATTATTATAGAATTATATAATTTTAGTTTCTCATGAAATATTGAAACTTAAGATTGTTTTTTAAATGGCTAGAAAATATTTTGAATGCTTATTTTCTTATCACATAATATAAATTATACGAGTTCAAAACTTATATAAATCATTTAAATTTATGTTTGCATTAGCTAAATTACTTAATTTTTTGGTCCAATATGATAAAAACATTAAACAAACAACAATTTTCAAAAATAAAAAAATATTAGTAAAGCAAAAAATCTTAAATTCTTCGATATAGTTTTAACCAAGATTTTGGGATTTAGTATTATGATAGATAATTTAGCAAATAGAAAGTGTTTCAATATAATTTGAAATAAAAAAAATAATTTTTGAAATATTCTTAAAGTAGTTAACAGTCTGGATTTAAGTGTATATTTTTAAAATAGAAGGGAGATCTGTATAATTAAGACAAAATACAAGGAAGGTTAAAGTATTTTACTCTTCTTATTAATAAAATAACCAGCAAGGACTTTTCCTAATTTTTCCTTTTTTTAACAAAATAAATATATTTTATTGAAATTAAAACTCTCAACATTTTAAAAAAAAAACATCATCCCTCCTATATCAAATGAGAATGCATCAATCTACTACTACCAAACGCTTAAATCGACTGGTTAGGGGTCGTTCTAACTTAACTAAAGTCATGGTTTCAATCCCGCTTGGGGAATGCAGTAGTATTTGTGGTAGGCAAGTTGCCCTTGGAGTCCCATAAAGTACTGCTCCGATTAGTTTGAGCTTGTTGATGTGCTTGGAAGATGACCTTGTCTTAAAATGCCCGGGGAGGAAATTCAAAAAAAGAATGCATCAATCTCTTTTACAGAAAGTTTGACACGTTTCAAACGGATTAAGAAAAACCTTAAATTTTAATAATTCTCATTTAAAATTAATAATTTTTAATTTTATTCCTATTTAATATATATTATATTTTATTTAAATAAAATTAATATAATAATAATAAAAGATAATTATATATTTATACAAAAAATTTTTTTCAGTATCCTGTAAATAGAATAAAAGAGCATTAACAATTCAAATTTCAACCGAGGGCAACTAGTCTATATTCTCTCCCCAGCATCCTTTACTCAGTTCAGTATTATTCTAAGTTCAAAAAAAACCTTGATGCTTCACATTATTTATTTCTGGCATTCTATCCATTATTGAGTCCAACAGGTCACACAGAACTTCGGCTATTGCGGCCATTTATTGCATCGAAGATCCCAACGGAGTAAGAAGGCCAAACGTGGTAGTTTTGTTAAGAATGAAATAAAATAGCAGTGGATTTATCTTAAAAATAACTAAAGCACAAAAATGTTTCAAATACTACTTGCAGTACTCCATGAATATACCAATTTGTTTTTTAATTTTATGTCATGTCCTGTCATTTTCTGAATACTTGAAAATCTTTAAAAGGCTCCAGAGCGGGGTCAATATGGCCCCAACGGCATGAAGGGTAAATAAATGTCGTTGTCGGGAACGGAGACGTCGTATTATTCAGTAGCCTTTCTGGCAAATCGCGCCACCGTATTGGTAATGTAGGGTCCAAAAGAGTTTTACTTGATGTGACGTGGCGTTCATAGCTCAGGGTGATTATTTCCTCTTAAAGCCAGTTCATGAACAAAGCCATTTATTCCTACTTCCGCTCTGATTCTCATCAGTAATGGCTGTTCATTCGTCCTGCGAGGTAACGTTCTTCTTATAGTCTTATACTTTTGCTTAATTGAAGTTGATCTTCGGCTAGATGTCTAACTGATGTAGATTTGGTTCTCTATTTTGTGAGCTGAACTTCAAGTTTAGTTGCTTGGCTTGTTCTCGGCATCCGAAGTCGATTGGATTTGCCAGTTGCTTCTCAGTTCTATTTAAGTTGCTAACAGTTAAGAGAGGAATGTGGAAGTTACGTGAAGTACTGCCGGAGTTTTTATGGAAATCAAATCTATAAATCTCAAAGGTCAAACGATTTTGTTTAGATTTTCTTCTAGATTCTCTTCTATATGAAGCGTGAAAGTTAATTCACGGATTGAAATGAAGTTGATCATCGGCTAGATGTCCAACTCATGTAGTTTGCTTCTCGTTTTGTCAGCTAAATTTTAAGTTTAGCTGCTTGACATGAATTTTCTCAGCATCTGAAGCCAATCGCATTTGCCATATGCTTTTCAGTTCTAGTTTATTTGCTAAAAGCTGGGAGAAGAAAGTCAAACTTATGCGAAGTAATGAGGTTGTGAAGTACTCGACAGTTTGATGGGAATCAAAGATATAAATCTCAGCGATCGAACGGTTTTGCTTAGACTTTCTTCTAAATTATCTTCTATTTGAGATGTGGAAGTTGATTCATGGATTGATTTGCGAACAACAATGTTTTAGTTCAGCCGCCTTAGAAACTTAAAATCAAATTAGGATAATATTTCGGGGACGCAATAGCCACTCTCCGTGGACTTTTACCTTAAGAGACGACTTTATTCAGTCTACGCCTTCCCAAGCTGTAGAGAACTCTGACCTGTAGAGTAATTGCAGGGAGGACCACTAATTGCGGAATTCCTGAAAGGGAATGGCAGCGAACCTGCCGATTGTCGGTATGCGAAATCACTCAAATCAAGCCCTACAGACGCGAGCCAATGCTTTTCCTCAGGTAATCGTACGAAAGAACTTGTATATAGTTTTTCTTCACCCCGGCTCATAAGAGGTTGCTGAAAGAACTTCAAACTGATACTTTATTCCGTTCTAGAGATTCCGCCAATTCTTGTTGAAGATGCTTCACTACCATCAGGATTATGTCAACCTTTAAGCAGCTCACCGGTGAGTTTTTCTCCTACTATAAAAACACTTCGTTTTTTTTTTTTTCCTGTTTTTGTTGAAGCCATTCTATAATCCTTTTCCTTTCCTTTTCCCTCCGTTTTTAATACCCATATCAAACGTTATGGCCGATAAGAGTGAGAATGGGAAAAATAAAGATAGATAATGTTGTGTATTGAATGCAACAGTCTGGTGTGGTTTGAGTGTTTCTTGTTGACCAAACTAGAATAACATAAATTAAAGGCAATACTTGGTCTTACCTTACCCAATCAGCTGTCTTTTACGCGGCTGCCTTTTTCTTTTCAACTTATATTTATGATGATATTGTTGATATACATATGCTTGTGACGTTTGGCCTAATTTCTGTTAATGCTCGCCATATGTGTTGCAAAGGGAAGAGGCACTGAATAGAAGCTTGTGATGTTTGATAGACTCACATTATATGTTTTTCTAGTAGTAATGCTTCATAGACGTTCATTATGAGATAGGATTTGAATTCTATGATTTTTCATGTGCAATAATGTTTCATAGACTTACATTATAATATACGATTTCCGTACCGCGATGTTTATGAAATATTTCTTTTTAATTGTCTTAATAAAGTAGCTGACACGCCCCCTCCAAAAGGTACCTGATTATTATTTATCGAATAGTTCATGAAGTATAAGTTGCTGAAGCTCCTTCTCACAATCTACAAGGACCAGAAAGAGATTAGATAAACTCATCAATGTTGTATTAATGTATTGCGTGCCTTGCTTTGAATTGATTGATAAATTTCATCTCATAAACGGGTGTCCGGAAATAGCTTAAAATAAGCATTCGTGTTTTTCTTGAAGAATTGACTCCTTTCTATTTCTGTAGGGTCAAGACGTCTATAGTGTTTCAGTGTTGTCCAAGGACGTTGACGATGCACATTGTGCTTCACCACCAACATTCTTGAGCATCTTGGAGGTTCCCAATCAATCTAAAGATCCAATATGCCTAGATGCTCAATTGGATTGCCAGAACTGCTTTGATTTCCGAGTGGAGAGTGAAGAGGGGTATTCCCCATGCATAATTGATATGCCTGGTGGAAATGAAAATTCAGTTTCATCTCAATCCTATGAAGAGGGAGTTGAAAGTTTTAAAAGTGAAAATTTACTATCTGTAAGTCACGTACATCCACCTTGTGGGCCTATCCTCTTTAGGATAGCGTATGATAGTCTCTCCTAGTTAACTGCAAACAATTGATACGATCTGAGCAGCAATTATGTGATTTTCTGCGGCATTTCTTTTTGGGGTTTTAAAAGAGAAACAGAGTTTGGTTTAACATGCATTTTGAGTTTGACTTCTGCCAATTCTGATTTTGGACAACTGTTGCCCATTATTGCAGAGGTTATTTTGGAGGCAAGCGAGTTTTAAATCTAGCGGAAGAGGTATGTTTTTTTGGCAAATTCTTCACTTTTTCTGTTCTGGAGAGGATAAGCATTTAATGATTCATTGAAGTGTATGCAATTTTTGTTTTAGCAGACATAATTAAAATGGATGACTTGCCTTAAGCATGCAGTATGGTCTAGAGCTGATGGAAATTTGTCCCACTTGATGAACTGAATGACTTGACAAAAGGAAATTTCTCTTTAACACAGGCTAATTAGAACTTTCATCTAATGTAACTAGGAACAGATTCCCACATACAGAGTTTTCATAGTTGCATTCTAAAGACAATTGATGGTTGATACTCCTCTTTAGCCTACTGAATAATTCTGATTTGAACAATATACCATCAACTAGAAAATATCGTATGTACATCTAATTCAAAAGCAAGGGGGTAAAACATGCGTTACTATGTTCATGTATTGCCCAATGTAATTAAAAATTCTATTGGAGAATAGATTGACTTGAAATTGAAGATTAAATGTCAAGGGTATCAAATTCATATTGTCAATCATAATCCTTTTGTCTTTAATGGCTGATCAACTCTAGGAGCCCTTACTGATCACTATGATATTTCTTTGCTCTTTTTCTGTCACCCTTTATAGTTTGCAGTTTTATCTTCTCTGATAGAATCGGCTTTATTTACCAGACCTATAAAAGTAAAATTAGCAAGATACATGAAAGAGTAAAATCACTTTCTGCTACCCTGGACGTTGGCCTCAAGCTTTATTGTCTTTTAGAGAAAGTTATTGAGCATATTAGTTACTCTAGAGTGGCTATAGGCCTGGCCTAGGAAACTGTTGTATTGGGGGTTGTGAGGATCACTTTTTGGACTATTAATATTCGTTGGGTTCTCAGGGGAAGGAGGACTTATTTTTTTGGACTGAGTTTGGTGAGGAGAGTGCTGGCCTCTCGAATGCCAGGTGAGGGGTGGAGGAAGAGAGTCTTTCTTCATCATTTTCTTTGTATTTCAGTGTGTATTTTAGTGTGCTAGTGAGTTGAGTGACCTTTGTTGTTTCCTGTGTGAGCTGTGCCAGTTATATATTGTATTGAACCCAGCCTTTTGTGTGATTAATATCAGTTTCAGTATTACTTGTCTACTGGTTTTATCTTGGTCTCTATCATTCTCCTTAAACTCCTACACTTGTGCTTTTACAGCTCGATTCTTCAGTAGGTTGGATGCATTTTTAACTGTTACATGTAATTAACAGATAATCAGTCGCTGAGAAAGTTCACGATATGCCAAATAACAAATGCAGAAGACTTAAGCGTTCTGCCTCATTCGATTCCAGAAAAGTCGCTTTTCTGTTTTCAATATTGTAAGTTCAAATTTCCTCAATCAGAATATGCATTACATTTGCTGCTAGATATGTGCTAGTATCAATTTTCTGTCATGGTGAAGTTACTTTCTATCTGACTGCTAAACAAACAACTTGAAAGTGTCCATGAGTCTGTCTTTTGGAAAGCAAACTAAATTTCCTTACTATTCCCTTCTGAAGTTGAGGCGAATGATAGTTGTGATGAGGTTGTCTCCTTCCTGAAGTCACCATAGTGCTATCTTAAGAAGGAGTCCACCTAGATTACCCACTTGTGGCACCCAACTTAAACATGGCTGAAAATATTGTGAAGGAATGAATCTCATCCTCCTTTCCATGGAATAATCCTTAAGTGGTGGATGTGTTTTCATGCCATGCCCAATCACTCTAGTAAGTTAGACAAGAGTTTGATATTGCTAAATAGAGTGGTTGTTGTAGCTGAGCTCACTCCCTTCTCCCTAGAGTTGCCTTTCTTGAGAAATCAATACTCTAGGCCCGCTACTTCTTAGCCCACCTTATCTGAACATGTCATCTCTGTCACACCCCTGATCATCCCGTATATCCTGCAAATATATCTCTTCATCTAGCCCATTAATCCATGCATTGAACTTGCAGGTAATGTCCCTTCTATTTTAGTCATGCCTATCATAGATGTCAACTGTCAAGTTATATCCCTTCATTATAATTAATTAGATTCCACAGTCTCTGGAGACGCTCAAACTCTCACTTTTATTATGCTTGATAAAGATTACAAATCACAGCGCCATCCTAAACAATTTTTATCAAATTTCTCAAAAACGTTTGAGCTCAGTAAGAATAAGACTTTTATTTACCAATAACTTTGTATTTTAGCCTTTGAGCATTGAAGTACTTTTATGAGAAAGTTGGGCAGATCCATTGATCAAGATATCTTGTCTTTCCAAACGTGTACTTGAATGCTTCACTTTCTCCTTTTAACTTACCCCAATCACTGGTACGTGTAACTACTATATACCTCCGAGTTTTGAAGCCCCCATTCTTAGTACAAGAATAGGCTTATTTTCCGCGTTACATTCTATTGTGGCTTGTGGAGTTCATAAGAGATATCATGCAATGATGCAGTGTAAATCAATTGAGGTAAGAATTCCTCCAATCCATTTGGGGCGTCTAGTGTTTTAATTGATAGAATGATAATCCAGGAGAAGAGGGTTAGTGGGTGCTGTTTCTAAATTAGACAAAGAGGAAGGGTGCAGAAGAATGGCGCAGGAGAAAGGTAGAGTACAGTTGTCTTGATTCCATGAACCGACTCTGGGATCAGAAGTATGTTCGGTTACTGTTGCTAGTTCTAGTACGGTATCCGTAGGATTTTTTTTTTTTTTAAATCTCATTAGCTATAACATTTTCAGAAGCTTTCTAATGAAGGGATTGACAATCGTCATTCACATCAAAGCCTGACCCTTGACTTCCTTTATCACAAAGCCTCTGAGCATCTCTACCCTTCAAAGGTTTAAAGTATTCCTGCAGTAGTCCATGCCAATCCAAAACATTAAATGTTTGATGCTTAAGGGAACCGTAGGGAGGAATTCGTTAAAACCTTTTTCCTTGCTTGGGACTTAGTATATGTAGGGCTAACTAAGGATTTTGGAATAACTTTCCTAAATCCTCTATTGTTCATGTTTGGATTGTTAGGAATTTGAATTTGGATTTGGACCAAATCCATTATTTGTATAAATAAAATTTCATCGATTTGGATTTGATATAAATCCATCATTACCATTCCTTTCGAATTTCAAATATCTAATATTGACCATCCTCTTTTAATACTACCCAAACACGTAGAATAGTCACACAAGTAGGACAACTCATTTCCAAATCCATTTCTCCAAAGACGACCTAAAGTCTTAATTGGTTTCTAATTTTAGGTTATCTCAATTTGGAGGAGGAAGTTTCTCCAAGGAATTATCACTTAACCATCGCTTCTCTTCTCTGAATTTTTCTTTAGAATCCTTCTTTTTCCTTCTCCTCCCTACTTCCAGACATGCCTTGAGAGGCAAAAATTCTACATCAATTACGTTATAGATGTTATTAACTTTTGGTTATGCTTGAGAGGGACTCGTCTATTTAATTATCTTGCAATTGAAAGTTTCAACGGTTCAGAGCTTAGATTGGTCATATATGCTCCAATTTCCAAATCATAGCATTAAAGGAGGGCTTAAGTGTGTCTATGCTTTCTCTTTTGGGAAGAGGGAGAGTGCAGGGCAGCTGGAAATTCTTTCTTTGAATTGAAATAATTAATCCGGGAGAGGTAGTGACGATGACAACTCTCTGTTGAGTCATTCTGGTTTGTCTTTGATGCTCTCCTCATTCTGCCTACTTACATCTTTCGCTCAAACAGATCAATATCTCTAATATTTATGCAGGTCAAGTTTGGGATCGCTGGTGTTGATATATCTGACGTTGCGAATCAGGCAGAAGGGTGAGAATTTTGTTCTTATTTAGTTGTTCAACCTTAATTAAAAATTGCTGCTTTGTGTTGACATGTAGAAATTAGAATAGTTCCTTTTCTTTTTCCATGTAAAATACACTTCTCTATTAAAATTAATTCATGACTCTTTATAATGAAGATGGTAATATATGAAAAATGTTTTGCATAGAAATGACCTTTACATATTCTCATTTAATATAACAATAATAAGAGTTAAGATACATTTAGTATCCTAAAGTATTTTGTAGTGCGTTCAACGCTCTGTTTACATATTTTCATTACATTTTATTATAATTGTACAAACAGTGCTTTAGCTTATTTTTACAAAAAATAACACTTCGTATATTCATTTTTTTTTCCATATTTAAATTCTTCATTCTATTTTATTTTGTGTTGCAAAGGGTTAGAACGTAGAACCTTTACCCCCTGACATTATTACCCTACAGTTGGCAATGCACGCCAAACATAACCTTGATCTTTATGTGGCGTTTTTCGTGTTGGCCATAAACTCACTCCCCTCCCCCCCTTCTAGATTTTTCAGATGTTTATATCTCATTAACTACGCACATACGCGAACTTATGTTCCATTATCTTGGATTTCAGCAAAGTACACTGCGATATGCCTAAACTGGGGACAATAAAAGTGAAAGAGAGAGGCCTGGTCTGATTTGAATATATTTTCGAATACAATTTAAATAAAAATTCCTTATTTTTCGTCCTTTTTCTCAACTAAACATGGTTTTAACGTCTGTATATGGAATTTAAGTCTAAATGAATTAAAACTTAAAATTTTTTTCTGAGCTTATAACATTTAGGGAGAATTGTTATAAAATCTCAAGAGAGAAGCATAATTACTAAAAAATCTTAGTAACAATAGAGTAGTATGTAATGACAAGTTTTAAAATAATAAATAATATTTGCTCATTTATTATTGAGATTTAATAGTGGATTTCATTGTAATTTTTCCCAAAATTTATTCTTGAGACGCTAATTGTATAATAATTGAAGGCAAAAAGAAAAAAAGAGTGACTACGGAACTTTGTATCTTACATCAAACATTACAGCAGCGGTTTCCCCCCACGTGTAATCTGAAGAAGCATTCGTATGAAGCAAGGTTTGTAGGATATCGCTTACCAAAGGAGCCAATTCCAGAGGTGTCCATAAAGACACATTTAGCTGCTCGTAAATTAACCGTTATCTAGCATGCACAACCTCCTCCTTGCTGCTCTGTATTGGACGAATGGACAGTGGGCTTTAGATTTACATCAACCATGTCTTCCTGTTTTGGAGAAAGAAGAGTTTCCATCCCTGGCAAGGCAGCCGCAATTTTTCGAAACAAAGGCTGCAAATTTTCATTTGCGTTAGATTAGACACTAAACAAAAATTGTGATGTGAATTTGAAGGTTCCAGAAGAAGCACGTTACGATCTTTCTTTTCTTTTTTAACAAATTAAGGAAAGGGCTTGGAGAATTCACCTTAATATTGAAGCCCGCTTTAGCACTAGTTTCTATAAACATGACTTCACATTCACGAGACTTGGCGTCCCCTTCCTCTATTGAGACTTGCCTGCATAGGTATCAAAATCACGTTAGAAGTGAGAAACCAATCATCTGCTCCTTTAATTTTGTCTACAAGTCACTTGCAACATATTTTATATTAAAAAAAAAACCTTAAATTTCGTTAACTCCCATTTAAAATTCAATATTTTTTAATTTTTATCCCTACTTAATAATATACATTATCTTTTATGTAAACAAAGTTAACACAATAATAAATGAAGGATAAATTTGTATATCTATATAAAAAATTTCTCTTAATACCCTATAAATAAAACCAGAAAACATTTTCTCTCTATTTTATAAATAAGACCAGAGAAATATTTGATATAACATATTCATACATGAAACGGGCTAAACAGAAACTAAATCTAGTATCAGTCCATTTATCCTATAAACTTGGTTTCTCATTCGATAATAATATCAAATTTTGAAGCCCTAATTAAAAAAATGCCCAACAGGTAATCCAAAAGAAAGGGGTCAACAGGATTCCAATTAGGTTGTTAGGCGGTAAACAATGGGTTTTTCTATATATCCAATTGTCACAAACGTAACATGTTTGAAATTATTTTTATGCCTAAAATTTGGCAAACCAGTGAAGATTACCACATAAGAGCAAAGTCTCTTCTGCTACTGGACACAGTATAGAATACTTCAACAAATATTTTCGGTTTCCAAAGAATCTGATATGTAAACATATTAATAAATAAAGAAGAATAGTTGGGGGTAAGTTGGAGAGATTACTGTTAGTAGCTAAAGGCTATAAATAAGTGGCTTTGGACTAATTGTAACCAGCTTATGAGATTAATGAATTGAGTTTCTTTCCTCCCTGTTACTCCCCCCCCCCTCTCTCTATCTCCCTGTTTTCCTTATCTTCCTCCCTCTTTCCCACCTTCTCCACACAACAGAATCAACAAAATGTAACCAGTAAAAATCATTTGGGCCCCATTTCATAACTCATCACTCACCTTTTATCAACGAGATCGGTTTTATTCCCAACCAAGACGATAATAACATCACTGCCCCTTTCTGTACGTACCTCCTCAATCCACTTATTAGTATTGAGAAACGATTGCCTGTCTGCATGACAAAAGCTAGATGATAAACTCGGATAGCCATAGATGGGTGTACAACAGCTTGTGAATAATATAAAAAAAGGAACATTAACGAACATCAAGATGTAGCAAATATCAGAGAGAAACTTTAAGAGGAGAAATTTTTCGATCACTACTTATGCTACAAAGCCTTTGCTGAGTGTCATTAACAAGTGATTTAAAGAATCATGTAAAAACTAAAAAGAATCTTCGTGACAAAAGAAAACAAAACAACTTACTAGCTACATCATATACAACAACTGCCACGGAAGAATCTCTAATGTAGCTTGGAATGAGACTGCGAAATCGTTCTTGTCCTGCAGTATCCCTGTTAAGTTAAAATGCACGGCGCTCAGCCAAATGATGCGACATTCAACACGTAGAAAAGCCTACACCAAGTACACCACAAGATATTGACGAAGCCACAAAATACTCAAGTTCAGCTCAGTGAACTGAAAATCTATCTATTATTCTTTTAAAAATGTCCATAAAAAGGGTGAGATGTTTATGTAAAGGAATATAAAGTGGAAAGATAGTAATTCCATCAAATTTAGTAATGAAAAATAAGAACTATGAGGTCAAAACTTGCAGCAGTAGGACTTTTCATCTCTTAAGAGCGAACCTAAAGTAGTTTTCAGATCTCCTATGAATAAGAGGAAATAAGAAACGACAAGGTTCACCAGATGTTTTCATCCAATATAACAGAGCACAATAGTTCACAGCTTAGAAATCCAACAAGTATATCGCGGAACCAAAGTAATAAGTATAACGTCTAAAAAATTGCAACCAAATTTTTCTTTTCACTAATGAGTATCCCAACAAAGCTTTTCTAAAAGTTAAAATAATCATAATTAGAGTAAAATTGTTATGAGGAACATAGCCCTACCAAAGCTGCAACCGAACTGTTCTGTCTTCAAGGTACATCGTTTTTGACAAGAAGTCAATTCCAATAGTAGCCTGCAACTCAAAATTAGCAAAACATGTGTTAACCTAGCAGCAGGAATCAAGAAAAGAGTTATAAAAACAAGTTTCCATGTTCATTTATCTGCTAAACAATAATCATACAGGATAACCAGCATAAACAAGGAACATTACAAGGTCAGAGGAATTCAATACATAGGATTCGCCTATATCTCAATTCAATTTTCAATTATCGACATGAATCAAAACTTTGGATATAATTCCGTAAGTACAACCTCTTTTTCTCACTCTCTAGCATTTTACCAATTCAAACCCCTTAAAGTGGGGATTCATATTCATAATTATTGGACAACGAACCTGTAAGCAATGTTTTGATTCTAATTTAATCCTACATTATATCGGAACTAGAATTTAAATACCGTTCAGATGATAATGTCCCGCATGACACACAAAAACTGAGAAAAAGCATCCAGTAGACTGGAATATGTCACAGAAGATCTATTCTCGCTCCTACTCTTGGCAACCACTTTCATAACCACAGCAATATTTTTCCCGGTATACATACATCAACTGTCTCATATCAGAAGATCTTCATCCCTCAGCACCACCTAACTTAAGCTACAAAGCATATACATATGAAAAAGTCTCCATAACAAACGAGAATAGTGTTGCCTGCTGCTAAAAGAACTAAGAGCGTAAAATATGTCGAATTGCAGACTGATCAACGAAAAAACACGTAAAGATATCGTAAATCGGAAATGTGATATTTGATAAGAGATAAGTGATCGACAACATGATCAAAATCCTTCAATTGCGATTCGAAAGAACTCTTAATGAACAAAAACGAAGCCTAATTGTGAAACAAATCAAAGGAAACAGGGGGATCAGGAATAACCTGATATGTTGTGTCGAATTTGTCGTACATAAAGCGTGTGATGATACTGGTTTTGCCAACCGATTGATCACCCAAGAAGACGACCTTGTATTTGGCAAGAGGGGACACTGTCGCCATTTTGTGGAGATGGATCGAAAGAAACGTCAGTAGTTGGTTGTGTGAAGCAAGCAAGGCTCAGATCTGAATCTCCCAAAAATCTCACAATCACAGAGCGAGAATCAAGGGAGAAGCACGAAAAATATGACAATAGCCAATTCCGAGTGCAACACATTTTATATGCACCAGGAGAAACCGCCAAGGCGCCAACCAGGACGCGGACGTTATACGGCCAAACCTTTGAACTTCAAGGGGAAAAAAATTTATTAAAAAAAACAGAAAACTTTCTTTACGATCAATTTAGCCTAATTTTTTGGCGTAAAAAAATAAAAAAATAATAGCCCTTTTTCCTTATAATCCAGTTAAAATAATTGTTTTTTTTATCATTTTGGAAAAAAAAAACCAACTGATACACACGGCCATTCATTTTTTGTTGTTGTTGTTTTCTTTTTAATTTTTTTTAACCCCTTTGTTTTTATTAAATTTTATCATGTAAAGGGCTCTATATAGTTTTACTTTTTCTAATAATTGTTTTTCCATTGAAAAACATATCATTTTGAATATAATTAAAAAATTTACCCCTAACAATTCATATATAAGAAAGAT